TTTTTTTTTTTACAGCCCGAGCCATTCGCCATCCAGAAAGAGTGCCGAAGAGTCGAGTCGAGTCGATGAGTCGACTAGTCCTTCGAAACTGTCGGAAACAAGTGGTTCAGAAGACGTAGGGAAGATTTTCGACGAGATTCAAACATCACAGAAGTAATTGGGAGCATTTTTTTTTTCTACAGTGTTTTCCCAAAATAGTGTTGTGCAAACCGTGTATGTAGTAATGTGTCTTAAGTGAATACATGGATTGCAGAAAAAGTCTAACTTGCTTCATCATTTTTGATTTTATTATAAAGTAGTAAAGTCGGTTAAAATTTATCAGATAACCTAACAATATCAGTTTGTCTACATTTTAACTCCTGATTCTAATTATTCTTCTACAACTGCCGTGTTGTCGTCTGGGACCCAGCGTAATTGAGCGTCAGTTGAACCTGGCGCTATCACAAATCTGACTGGTTGTTTGCAACATCATGTTCGCAGTTTCTGTAAGAAGCCATTCTGCAAACACGTGTTTAGCATGTTTTGCAGTATCAACAGTAATCTCTAGTGGATCAAAGTTAGTTATTGAGTTTTTCTGCATTGGTTGCTCTAGTACATCCTGAATTTTTATTTGCTAGCAGCTTTTTTACTGCATTTATATATTAGCCGCAAATTATAGTTCGTTTTTAAAGAAAAATACTTGAAAGTAGGAGGATTTTTTGTTTGAACTTAAAACAAAGTTGTTATTTTATTTGAGATTAAGACTTTTCAATAGCGATTAGTCCAAATTTTTACTGTTTTTACTGGTGCAATATTATCAATGACTGTGCAACAGAAATAAGAGAAAACATTTAAGGAAGAGGAAAAAAATTTTTTTTTTTACTTCCTTTATGATTTAACTGTGTTTTTTTTCTTTTTTTTTTTTTTTTTGTAAAAAAAAATTGATTAGTCACCACTGGCAGTAGAGTAGTCTAAACTTTTTGTTAGCTTATAATTTGTCATCAAGTCAGACTGGCGCTATTGGCAGCAGTTGAGTATTGCTGACATTTCTGTTGTTATGCCTGTGATACATTGAGTTTTCAGGGAATGCTGTTATTGTTTTAGTATAATTTTCTCTAGGAAATAATAATAATGGAAATTTTTAAAAACAAATGATTTTTGTGAAAGTATATTTGTTCTATTTTTTTCTGAACAAAAAATAAACAGTTAGAACAATAGAAGACAGAATTTCATCAGTTTTTTCAAGTTACTAAATTGATCTGTTATTAAACACATACCTACTGTAAGTACTAGTTCAGCCTGAAATTTTAATGCTGACAGTTTTTGTCAACGTTCAGAACTGTCAACTCTCGTATTGACGATTTAGTTTATCCCTATTGTTTTTGCCGACCAAATCTAACCTCCAGTAATTTGTGCTGTCATTCACGAATATTGTTATGAAGCCGTTACGTTAGGTTGCAGCAGACATTCGGCACCGGTTTTATTGTTCATTCTCTCAATGTTCTCAGTTCGGTCGTTTCTTACTTGGATTTCGCATCTTATTCAACTTCTAATTCTTCTGCTAAGTTCCTTGTGCGTAATTACTTTTACCATTGTCTCCTTTCTTCCAGATATTAATCTGTCATTTTCCTGCTTAAATGCAGTTTAACTATGTCTGCTGTTATATATTACGTCATTATTTATAAGTATATAGGTTTAATAATGATCAAGTATTATTTTTCCTGTTGTAGTAAGCATCAGAAATTTCTAGAGCTGTAAAACTTTTCTTTATAGGTATCAAAACTTGAAACACTCTTAATCTTATCATTACTCACTCAAAACACTTTTTCTTTTCCAGAAAATTAGGACAACCATATTGCTGGAATCTTGACGGCATCATACCTGATACCTAATTTTTAAGATTAATTGGACCGTTTAAAGCAGTCGCTCGTGGAAGAACGCGCAGTGAAGCAGCAAAACGACTTCAGTTTTCTGCATCAACAGCGACTGCACCAGTTCCTTCGTTGCCTGTTGATTACCGTTTGAAGCAGTCTTTTGATGGCGAAGAAGAAGATGATGGATCTGGAATTGCAGCCAGTGCTAAAAGGGTGTGAACTTTTGTTTTTTTAAAGAGAGTTTTCTATGTGCTAAGTCAACTACTCTTGATATTATTAATGTTTTTTTCAATTTCTACTGTCTAAATTGTAGTCTAGAAATTTAGAACTAATATATGATTCTCGATTTATACATTGGCAGTATATAATTATTAGTATAAATACTTTGTGTTTTACTAATTATACTGGACCATTGTGTTGCAGGGGCTACAAGCAAAAATTGATTTTCTTTCTGCGGTACATTTAAAAAAGCGAGATGTTTCTAGCGGGTATCCCTCACTAATGCTTATAAGGATCAAAGGTAGTTTTTAACCTATAAAATCTATTCTCAGTTCTCACCCAGAAAAAATGTCTTTTTTCTTGTCTTTAGCAACAAAGAAATACTGTGAAGCTTAGATAAGAGAAGCTTCTCTAATGATTGTTCAGTACGCCCCTAATCCGTTGTTACTTAACTGAATACTCATAAAGAGCAGATTGTCATTCCAGGAGGCAAACGTCCAGACGTTCGTCTTGTAGCACCAAAGTATACATCTCTCTGCAATTACGGGGTTTACATGCTGGTTACTCCTGAAAAGCTATTTTTTTATTACGGTAAATACTCAAGTCTTCGCGAAAGAACCAAGGCAAGCTTTGTACCCTAAATTAACGTTCGTATTTTCGAGCTTTATTTTTGTACAATCTTATCTGAACAACTGGAATGCAGTGAACAATGCCCATTTAATGTACTCCAATTAGAGTAAAACTGATGAGATTAAATTATTTTTACAGTTAGGAGATTACACCTTGGCCTCGTTCAGTTTCCTGATGCACTGCTTATTTTTTTATAGTTATGAGTATTTTTTTAAATCTATTGGTTCACTTATTTTAGCACTACACAACTGGTAATTGGATTATTCCATTAAAAGTTGAACTTTTTAAATTTTAGGCTACAATAATAACACAGTCTATCACTTCTAAAAACGGCGAACTTGGCTGTCATGCTAGGACAGCAGAAAATGTTAATGAAGTTAAAAAGTCTGAGTTTTGGACGCTGCTAGGTTGCTCCAGTGCCAAAGACATTATGGATGATGAAGAGCGAAATAAAGCTTTTGAAGGAGATGAACCTTTTGAAACATATATTGCAAAAACTAACCTTATTTTTCAAGTTTGCGATGATTATTCAATAAAGACAGTATTATCGGGATCTGCGCCTTCACGCAGTATTATGCAGCCAAATTTTGTAAGCAATTTTTACGCTTTTTAAGTGACAAAAGATTAATTTGTCATATCAATAATATTTTTAGAACATGATTTTCGACTTCGGTTCAGAAATTTATATATGGGCTGGCCGCGCTGCTGATAGGACGGGTTTTCAGAAAGCATTAGCCTATGCTAAAGAACTCGTAAGTTTAATATTTTTTCAGAGCTGACGTCATAGATACTTTCATAGCACTCTTCATAATACAATTATCGTTCACATTATCGGTACATTCTTCTTACAGCAGCAACAGTCTGCACCACATATACCAGATAGTCAACTTCTTTTTGGAGACGACTTTAGCGAAAAACGACCCGATTGGTGTATTTTTTTAAAAATGTCACAAGGACTGGCAGACTGCTTGTTCCGAGACAAGTTTACTGACTGGGTGTCCCCAGACGACGAAGCTACATTTAAAATACGGAAGCCGCTAATTGTTAAAAGAAGAGAAATAATCACAGAGAGTTTTGAGGAGACTACGGCTAAGAATTTGGCAAAGTAAGTCTAATCTGTTTGACAAATGTGTGTTTACTAATGAAATGGTCTACCACTAAAAATTTTGCTGTGTTTGTTTGTGTTTAGAAGCCTTTTGGCGCGTACGCCCACTGAGGTGCCACTGATTTTGGAGGAGACGGAAATTGGTCGAGCAGCGGAAAATATATTTACTGAAGACATAAATTATTATCGAGTAGACGGAGAAGATAAGTTGACAAAGCTGGACGATCTAAACTTGTTTTTTACAGAAGAGTGTTATATTATTCGATGGGACTACCGCGTGGAAAAAGAAGGTCAATTAGTTTTCTGTTTTTGCATGTTTCTGGAAAAATATTTTACTGCATCATCGTTGTCATTTGACAGTGT